ATTCCGGTGACCTTTTCGCTGAAAGTATGCATTGTTTGTCATTTGATCTCAGATTTGTCAGTATTGCACAATGTTCAAAATTATACCCTTTTTCCTTGGGACATTTGTACTCAGACAAATAACGCGACCCGGACAATGTTTTTCGCAGGTCACAGTTAAATTGTCAGGTCAGATGATGGTGCACAATCAAACGGTTGATCATGTTGGGGAATTAATACACAGTCCATGTGTTCACACAAACGGTTGATCATGTTGGGAATTTAATACACAGTCAACGTGTTCACACAAACGGTTGATCATGTCGGGAATTTAATACACAGTCAACGTGTTCAGACAAACGGTTGATCATGTCGGGAATTAAATACACAGTCAACGTGTTCAGACAAACGGTTGGTCATGACGGGAATTTAATACACAGTCAACGTGTTCAGACAAACGGTTGATTATGTCGGGAATTTAATACACAGTCCACGTGTTCAGACAAACGGTTGATTATGTCGGGAATTTAATACACAGTCAACGTGTTCAGACAAACGGTTGATTATGTCGGGAATTTAATACACAGTCCACGTGTTCAGACAAACGGTTGATTATGTCGGGAATTTAATACACAGTCAACGTGTTCAGACAAACGGTTGATTATGTCGGGAATTCAATACACAGTTCACGTGTTCAGACAAACGGTTGATTATGTCGGGAATTTAATACACAGTCCACGTGTTCAGACAAACGGTTGATTATGTCGGGAATTTAATACACAGTCAACGTGTTCAGACAAACGGTGTCGGGAATTCAATACACAGTCCATGTTCAGACAAACGGTTGATTATGTCGGGAATTCAATACACAGTCAACGTGTTCAGACAAACGGTTGATTATGTCGGGAATTCAATACACAGTCAACGTGTTCAGACAAACGGTTGAGACCAGAGAGGAATCGACACACAGAATAGGTGTTTGTACAAACGTTATAGATGCCCGGAATAAAATACAAAATATCCACACAAACAATCAATTATATCGGGAATTTAAAACAAAGCCACGCATTATCAGAAAAAGACATGTTGCTCTGTATATGGAAGACTTAAGACAAGGACACACAAGGTCAGATGCACAGTAAATAAGCACACGTTGGTTGTCCTCTTGGCTGGGGTTTACGGGAAAGGTTTGACATGAAGTGTTTGATATCTGATAAATAGGGAAGCAAGTACTATAGTGTTATCTCCGGTATGAAAGTATTGTGGTTCTTTAGATAATTGTACCATGTCAAAGTAGTACTGGGTTGTAGTTCCGCAAAAATGTGAATGTGGAGTTTGAAATTTCTCACGATTGCTGACGGTGCTTTTAGGGAACAAGGATTGCTCGGTGTTCTGAGGAGCAGCATTTGGCGTCCCTATGATCATGAACCCCCATTAGCGTTGATAATGTTCCTAGGTTTGTCAGCTTCATATCCGTGACCTGTCATCATGCTGAAGGGGCTGTGACCTCATCATGGTGCTGATGGGGCGCTGTGACCTCATTATGCTGAAGGGGCTGTGACCTCATTATACTGAAGGGGCTGTGACCTCATTATGCTGGGCCAGACCTCATTATGCTGGAAGGGGCTGTGACCTCATGCTGGGGGCTGTGACCTCAATATGCTGAAGTGATGTGACCGCATCTTGCTGAAGGGGCGGTGACCTCATCATGCTGAAGGGGCAGTGACCTCATTATGCTGAAGGGGCTGTGACCTCATTATGGGGGGCTGTGACCTCAATATGCTGAAGGGATGTGACCTCATCATGCTGAAGGGGCGGTGACCTCATCATGCTGAAGGGGCGGTTACTTCATCATGCTGAAGAGGGCGGTGACCTCATCTTGCTGAAGGGGCGGTGACCTCATCATGCTGAAGGGGCAGTGACCTCATCATGCTGAAGGGCTGTGACCTCATTATGGGGGCTGTGACCTCATCATGCTGAATGGGCAGTGACCTCATTATGCTGAAGGGGCTGTGACCTCATTATGGAGGGGCGGTGACGTCATCATGCTGAAGAGGGGCAGTGACCTCATCATGCTGAAGGGGCGGTGACCTCATCATGCTGAAGGGGCAGTGACCTCATCATGCTGAAGGGGCGGTGACCTCATCATGCTGAAGGGCGGTGACCGGCATGCTGGGCGGTGTGAGGGTGGTGATGTCATTATGCTGAAGGGATGTGACCTCATCATGCTGAAGGGCGGTAACCTCATGACCTCATGCTGAAGGGGCGGTTACTTCATCATGCTGAAAGATGGGGCGGGCTGAAGGGTGACCTCATCTTGCTGAAGGGCGGTAACCTCATTATGCTGAAGGGGCGGTTACTTCATCATGCTGAAGGGAGGTGACCTCATTGAGCTGAAGGGCGGTGACTTCATCATGCTGAAGGGGCGGTGACCTCATCATGCTGAAGGGGCGGCCGAAACCTCATTGACTTCCATCTGCTGAAGGGCGGTGACCATCATCATGCTGAAGGGCGGTTACCTCAGGGCGGTTACCTCATTTTGTTGAAGGGGCGGTGACCTCATCACGCTGAAGGGTGGTGATGTCATCATGCTGAAGTGCAGTGACCTCATCATGCTGAAGGGGCGGTTACTTCATCATGCTGAAGGGGCGGTGGGGTAGCGGCGTAGCCTAGTGGTTAATGCGTCCGCTCGTCACGATGAAGTGAGTGAGTGTAGTTTTACGCTTCACTCAGCAATATTCCACCTATATGGCGGCGATCTGTAAATAATCGAGCCTGAAGGGCCGATCCCGTTAGTCGCCTCTTACGACAAATATGGGTTACTGAACATCAATTCTAACCCGGATCTTCACAATGAAGACCTGGGTTCGATTCCAATGTGTGTGAAGCTCATTTCTGGTGTGCCCTCCCGTGATATTGCTGGAATATTGCTAAAAGCGGCGTAAAACTAGGCTCACTCATCATGCTGAAACGGCATGAAATGTTGCTTAATACACAGGGGCGTGTCACGCTTAGAAACAGCGTTAGAAAGACATACAGGTATATAGACCCCACCCTAGTACTATATAAAAGGAAAGGGATGTAACGACGGAACCACCCCCTCCTCAATCTAAGTTAGATTTCACCATCTATGGCCGACAAGTGAGTATGATTGCCGATGGTTTTGGAGAAAATGCCTGCTTACTGTCGAGGAAATGATTTGTAGATGTTGCAATAAGTTTTTAGACCCGTGGAATGCCGCTGCCGATCGGATCTAGCCCTACATAGGTGCTGTCAACTTTGACTGAGGAGGGGGTGGTTCCGTCGTTACATCCCTTTCCTTTTATACAGTACTAGGGTAGGGTCTATATACCTATATGTCTTTCCAACGCTGTTTCTAAGCGTGACACGCCCCTGTGGCTTAAAAACCATCAACAAGGGTTGACAATCAACAACAACGAGGCGTATATAAAAATTTATCATACATTATCCGAAATGATTCTCCAGCATGCTGCTGATATTCCAGCCCGATAAAGTGGTATTGATATCCCATGATTGTATATCATTGGTAATGACATGAACATATAATATGTAGGCATAAATCACTGCGAATGTAACTATGTATGCAGAACACGAACCCTTTTAACGTCATCTCCATAGTCCTGTTATTAACCCCTTTCATGTCTGAACCACACACATTTTGCACATAGAACCACGTAATAGTATTTAAGGTCTTCCATGTATTGCATTCGAAGACCGCCTCCGTGGTGTAGTGGTTAGAGCGTCCGCCCGGAGAGCGGAAGGTCGCGGGTTCGATCTCCGACCACGTCATACCAAAAGACGATAAAATATGGTACTTGTTGGTCCCTGCCTGGCGCTCGGCATTAATGGGTACAACAAGGACTGGTCGGCTCGGAGTCAGTATAATGTGTCTGAGTGGGGTATTCATGCTTCACTGCGGCGTGGTATCTCAGTGGGCTAGCACTATAAAACCAGCTTCAGTCTGGGCTAGTACAAGCAGCCGCACATACACATGCACACGCATGCACGTCGTCATATGAGCGAAATATTCTCAAGCACGACGTTAAACCCAATTTCACCTCACCTATTGCATTCGATAGCAGCTTTAATGTTCAGATAGAGAACGATCATTTGATATCCAAAATACAAAATGGCATTGATAAAAGCCATAGATTCCATCAGCTGCTATAATACTAATCAATAGTGGATACACTGTTGAAATGTTGATGTTGCATTCCTCTTTTGTTGCTTTGGGTCAACCATTTGATTTGAACGCTAGTCAGCAATGCGTGTCGTATGTATACTGAGAGAGAAAAAAAATAAGGGATCGCATAAAATTATATATATATGCAAAACAATATAGATGTGATCCCTATTCTTTTCCTTCAGTAAAACAGGGAAGTGATATTGTTTGCTTGACTATGACACGTTGACCGCTGTTTGCGGGCATTGGTGGTAGAGCGTGTAGCGCTGTGATTGGTTGCGTTGTCTATCACCCCGTGAATATCCAGGTAAGAAGTGGTCTCGGTGGCTGAGCGGGTTAGGCGGCTGACATTGTGTGCTGGCGATTAGGTGCCTGACTGTGAGGGTGTAGGTTCGAATCCCGGATGGGACTGAACCCCACCAAAGTTCAAGAATCTGTACTTTACTAAGAAAGTGTAATCCCAAATAACATATATTATAAGAATTGGTCCCAGAACCAATGCTTGCCGAAAGAGGCGACATGGAAGTCAACGCAATGAAGAGGGAAGGCAGTGCCAGTTCATCGCAACGCATCAAAAGTCTTCTTATTGGAGGGTTGTTCTTCGAATCAGTTATAGATACTGTCAAAGAAGAGTCCTTACATAGCAGATTTATACAACAGAATACATTTACACCGGGACAAGATACGAGTGAGATAACCATAGCATACATTATTCACATTGATTGCTTTAGATGGTCCCAGTGCCCAGTCTTTATTATGCATGTGCAATTACCTCATTCCCGGTCACTATGCATAATCCATGTAACGGAAATTACAAAGGTATTGTACTCAATCCATTGTTTCCCGGACAACACCTGTACAAGAGGAGGTACCAGTGACTATAAAGCGCTCATAGTATGTTCAGTATGTTCCATGGCGATATCGACCGACCATGAAGGCAACACCTGGGCGAGAAAACCAGGAATATCACCACGACCAATAGCTTGGCAACTGTTGGGAGGCTAGTTTTGAACAGGCTTCACGTGATCCATTCGCAAAACAGCAGCGGTCGTTTCACTCTGGTATAACACGGCAGGTCAGGAATTGTCTTTGTATACATTAATGCTAACCCTAAACTTTGTCCGGTGAATTCTAAACAGTTCGTTTTCTTCTTCTGTTTCTTCTGTCGTATTTGCTGCTATCACTATCCGCAGATATACACAGATACAGTCAGTCAATGAGTGAATTGAGTTGAGTTTTACGCCGTTTTTACCAATGTTCCAGCAGTATCACGGCGGGGGACACCAGAAATGGGCTTCACACATTGTACCCATGTGGAGAATCGAACCCGGGTCTTCGGCGTGACGAGCGATCGCTTTAACCTTTAGGCTACCCCACCGCCCGAGATAAAGTCAGAGCGTTTGTTTGTTTCAGATACGGGTGGTCATTGTTTTTAACCTCTTGTGGCGTCAGGAGGAGAAAGGCAAACGGTTAAAATGGCGGTGAGTAGAGAAATAATAATATCAAGAACACAATACGTCCAGATAGTTGACATAATCTCTGAAAATCACAAGAATGTATTTTCTTTGTTCCAATGTTCCTATGTGATCTCAGAACTATAGTGACTCGCCTGTTCATACTGTTTGCTGAACCGTCAATCAAAACAAAACATTCACTCATGTTTGACGGTGACTGAAAATAGATCAATTATGAAATTGTTATTCGATTGGTGCCCATATGAATCTGAGCTGTAACGAAATTGTACCAGTGTCTAGTTTCGTAATAAAGACCTGTATTTAATTAGTAGAATATATGAAGGATTGGGTGAGTGAGTGAGTGAGTTTAGCTTTACGCCGCAGCGGTCTGTACATAATCGAGTGTGGACCAGACAATCCAGTGCATGAACATCAATCTGCGTAACAGGGTTATTATGACATGTGTCAACCAAGTCAGCGAGTCTGACCCCCTGTCTGGTTAGGCGCCTGTTACGACAAGCATGGGTTACTGAAGACCAATTCTAACCCGGGAGTTCACGGGTGGTTATTCGATGGTACGAGGAAGAGGAGAAACATATGTGCTTGGAGGCACTGTGACGATTCTGCTTTTTACATGCATTGCCAACCAGGACATAGAAGAGAATCGGCACGAACTGGTTATTGAACATGTTCCGTTATGATTCTCGTGTTTTTACAAATCTAACTTGTTATGTAATTAATCTTATGTGCTGCGTTATAACAGTGGCATAGCGATGTATTTATCTTAAGCCTCGTATCACAATACAACATTACAATATTGCATTCCTGTATGATCACACAACTACCGACCGGGAACACCTCTGCTTGTTTGGACCAGAAGGGTTTATATGGCTTGTCCCCCTTATCACTTGTCACGACTGTGCAAACAGAGCAATCAAATTTACGATGTGATAAAAGGACGCAGGACGTTGTTTCTCATGACGATACTGTAACGTAGGTAGGGCCGAATCGACCAGGAATTAGTTGCTCGGGTTTCTGTATACGAGTTTACAAGTTTTTATGCTTAACATGTATGAGAAGGGGTCGTGGTGGGGGGTTGGGGGTGTTATTGATTTTGTACATGACATGGGGGTCTACCTAACTCGATCTGAAACTCGACCCCCCGAGTAGTGCAAAATAGGCACTGGGACCGCTGCCCCACCGCCCCCAGAACATAATGACATGAACTGACAGACAAGTTTATTCAGTAAAAGGCCACAGGCCAACATACAGTCATTTGCATATGATATAGATAGTTTAGTGCACATGCTGTGTTAGAGGAACATTTCTAATGCGCTGAAGTACATGATACAGAAAAATACTGACATCTCTTATGATACAGTTATTATGTGTTTTCATAATGTTAATAAAATGGGCATTTGGATAAAATCAGTCAAATATTTCTGAATATATCTTAACCTTAAATCAGAAAAACGTTCACACTTAAGGAGTACATGGAATTCATCTTCAATAACATTTTTGTCATCCAATTTACAAAATAAACATATTCTCACCTTGTAATTAACTTTATTGTATCTTCCAGTTTCAACCGCTAAATTAAAATTACCACATCTAACTTTAGAGAGTGCAGATCTGAGATGTATATTTAAGGAATATCAGAATTTAAATAACTTTCCACATTTAAAAATGTCTTAAATTGGGAGTAATAGAAACACTTATTAGAATTTTGAATTGAAGTGGACCAACATTGACCACGTCAAACTAGTACCGATATATTTATATCTAATATGTAAAAATTCAGTATTTCTTAGTACCTGAAATTGAAAACACGAATTTGGAATGAGATGTTTTAATCTGAGATCAATCTGTTAGGTAGCAGTTTACTAAAGTTGAACTTAAATCATATTCAAAAGATTGGTCATTCGCAAAGTGAAGCAGATCTCACTTATACTGCAGTGAACAGTATGGGAATACATAACGAAACATACCACTTACGTGATTACAACTCCCTGTTTATTGCATAGAGCGGCATTTCGATGTACATCGTTCAGGATAAACAAGCTGATTGATTGATTACATCACTTGGACAATGGAGTGAATTTAGGCTTGTTGATCTTACTCTCCTGTTGGCCCCAACGACGTGCTACTTGCTGAAGTACCTGTTGTTAATTTGCTGCTTGTCACTATGCATATATACCTCTATTCACCTGGTTGTAGTAACTTTCATCTTGATAACGGTGTGAGAATATACATGGAAACTCCCCTCTATCGACCTTTGGTCCAAACGGATGAGTTAAGAAACAAGGTCGATGTCCCGTCCGTTAGCAATTAACATTGGATTATAGAGACAATGATGGGCCTACGTGTTGATAGAAGAGGATATTCCGGATTATGCGGGTTAGAGCACACCTAATGAGAAAACGAGCCAAATATATGTTATAAAGATAGTGTGTTATTTCAGTCTCTGTGCACTTAGCATATATACACTGAAACATAAAACACATAAAATACATAGAAGGCGTAAGCCACGAGTGGTAACGGGAGACTATATGGACAGATTTTATTTAATCATGTTACAACATGCTACATTTGACAGGAATCTAAATAGTCATATTACATCATATTACGAAATGTTACAAAATAATACAAAATTTTAAATATACATACACAAATCTATAAGTACATTATAAATATATTAATGATGTGAAAGAAGAGACGCTGAATCAGCAAACTGTCTAACAGTTAACATTCCATTTTGAAACTGGTGTCTCAGTTCTTGAAGACGACGTTCCAGGTATCGGTATTTCCTTTTCGTTGGTTGTCTTTGGCCTTCGGCATATTGCACCAACGAGGTGTAGGAATAAACTTATGTTCAAGTTGATCATTAGCCATTTCGAAATCGAATGTACACTTTCATGCTTCTTCTCATTATATATCCCCATGTAATTAGAGGGGAACTGATCCAGAGCGATTAATGTTTCTCGCCAACAGCCTAATTACCAAACCAAACTGCAAGCTGGTCGGTATCTGCTTCCTCAACAGTGACGGACACAGGGGCTGGGCTTCTGGCCACCTTGACAAAATTTCTTCAACCTAAACAGATGACCAAGCCAAGAAAGACACAAGTGGATTGATTGCTCATTATTGGCTAATTAAATTACTTTTTTAAAGAATGGCGGACATCATGCAATTAGTTGCCATGTGTGCGATCTTGGATGACCAATGAGATTATAAACCAATGTGAAAAAAATTGAAACGATGTATCCCTTTTTCGCATATTAGACTGTTGAAAGACACTTGACATGGAACAGGATTCTTTGTCAGCTGCAGATGAATGGCATATTGTTCCTTTATGTGAGAAATTTCACTGTCAAATTTGAGGCTGTCAAAATCGGGACTAAACCTATGTGGATAGTGATGGATACATTCCTTGAACAAGGTAATAGTCTGACATTGTTGCAGACTTTAGTCTGTTTGATTTCTAATATTTGCATTTTGTATTTATTTATTTGTGGTAGCATTCAACAGAATCATTTTTTTCGTCGTGTAGCGTAATGAGACAGACAACATACACAAGGTCATACCTAGGGCGTGTGTGATTCCTGTTGGCATTCTATAAAATGTCTAGATATTACAGTCATGTTATAAATACACTATAAGTATAAGCAGATCGTATGCTGTTCATTAAGTTTCAAATTGCATACAAATATGACAATAAAATAATTAGGATTATAAGACAAAATATAAAGACATACATTGACTTCGATATTTTTCATTCCTGACGTTTTTATCCATTGCCAGATGATTAAACTTCAAAATGTTTTCATTTCAACTTATCTTCTACATGTAGGTATTCAGCCGTCACAGCGAACGTAATCAGCTGTTGAAAATAAACAAAGCTCAATCTTAAAATCTACGCTGTCGCCATATTGGCTACACCGGTCACGTGACGAGACGAGGCATACGCTAAGGGGCTTTTCGAGAAGTGACCACTCGCCGGTATATAGTCTCCCTCCTTCTATCAACCACCAGCTTGTAATAACACGTCACATGAGATTAGCCATGTGCTAAAATAACACCCAAACGTCAAAGCGTACCCCTTGTCAACGTCCTGAGCCTTATAAAAGTCGAAAGGTCGGCTTCCTCAGTCGACACCTTCTCAAACTTTTGTCATGTAAGTGGTAATAATTCCTGAGCATTAGAGAACAGATTGGTTTGCTTATTTTGGAATTTAATGCTTTTCATAAACTAGAATCTCATGAACCATTTGTCTCTGGAATCATCTGTGATATGAACTTGTGTAGTGATTTCTCTAGAAATTATTTAACATGATCTAAAATGAATAATGCATTAAACATTTAGTCACCTTTTATTGTCAATGACCAAATTAATTAGTTACACTATGAAGTTTTTAAGAAGGAATTCATTTGGGTTGTTTTTGCCTCAGTCCGCCCGTGTGTGGACAACACAACCAATTATCTATTAACAAGTTCATGATATTTCGTGAATATTCCAACTGCATAACACCGTCTCTGACCACAAACCCAAACTGGTTGTTCTCTAGTCGCCTAAACCCCAATTCGCCTACAGTCTTAAAGCAACATTTCATGGTCTGTTGACTGTTGATTACGCAATGATAAACCACCCAAACGGTCGGTTTATGCCCGATCAAAGATGTAGATCAATGAGGGATAATCTGATTTTTGGCAACATCCCAGAAACAGAAAGTACCCCGACTTTTGAAAGTTCCGAAGTGTTACTCAGAGAGTTCATCGAATCCAAATTGCACCTAGACAGCCAGAATATAAAATTCAAAAGAGTCCACAGGATTGGGCGCCCCCGTCGTCCACAACGACCAGGTGATACAGTGAAACCACGCCCCCTCATTGCTAAATTCATATATACAACTGAGAGGGACTCTGTTAAGAGAGCTGCCAGAGAACTAAAGGGAACTAATTTTTCAATTGCTGAACAATTTCCTGAAGAAATCAGTTGTTACAGAAGAGATGTACTGTTACCTCTGCTGA